TTGCTTCATCAAAAAAAAGCAAGACCGATATACACAGGCGTCGTATTTTGCACCCATACTGAAATTTCGAATTCATTATTTTTATTTAATATACAAACACATAAATACACTCTGCTAAAATAGAAAGACATCGATACAAATAAATGAATATTCATTAATTTTTGACGGATTCATATACCCAATCAGCTAGTATTGGGTACAGTCCGCGCGTAAAGCGTTCAAAATAATTAAATGAAGTAATACATATATCTTTTACACCAGTAAAAATCTTTTCTTCGATAAAATTTTTCTATAACATTCTTCAATATCGTTAAATTAGCACCTTTTAACTAAACTACATTGTGATGTTAAAATAGATCAATCGTACAATTTTATAGCCACATAAAATATTTAATACTCGAGTGTAAATTTTATTAGTAAAAACGTTGCCCAGTTAACAAGTTCTTAACAACACTAAGCTATATTTACAACAAATAAATAGTATTAATCAATATTAAGACGTTAAAAATGTCCTCTATTCATTGGATTTGAATATTCTAATACAAATTCTTTACGACATTAATACAGCTAAATCTTCACTCGTTTATAATTAGAATTTAGCTGCACACGAAACAAATAAGTTTAGCTATATTTTCGCGCAGTAAGAGGAACTTTTAACTATAAGGCACTGAAACAATCTCCAACAGAACATAGACGCCTACGAAAGTAATACTGTATAAAGCGACCCCTGTCGCATCCGTCTCTTTCCAGCGTCACATGTAGCGACACGCCAATCTAGGCCCTACGGCGCTGGCATTTCAGTCTAATCCGGCGCGCCGCCCGACCGTCCCTAACTATCGGTTGATGCAGAGCGACTCCACATACTTAGGGTCCATCTCGTCGATCTCCCGGCCTTTGGTCTCCGGCACGAAGAGTACCACGAACAGTAGACAGAGCACCGATATGCCGGCGTACAGCCAAAACAGGCCGTACAGCCCTATGTGGTCTTGTATATCGGCGGCGGTCTTCACGTTCACGAAGCCGCACAGGTGGCTGAAGCTGGTTGCCAGCGCGCTCCCCGTGCTCCTGTACTCGAGGGGGAACAGCTCCCCGATAAGCAGGGAGGATATCGGGCTGATCCCGAGGGAGAACGCTATCGTGAAGGTGAGCACGCAGACGAGCGGTATCCAGTCGTAAGCGCCCGGCTCGGTGTGTGTTAGATCGGTGGAGTTCATGAAGATGGTCATGTAGTAAGCGTAGGAGCCGTAGCCGGCGAGCGCTATGGACATCATCACGCCGCTTATCATCAGAAGGGGAAGGCGGCCGACGTTGTCGATCAGCATTCCGGACAAGCACGAGGCTAGGAGCTGGACAGCGCTGGTGGCGATGGCCCCACCGTGCGGGTTCATCATCCGGAAGGTCTTCTTGAACATCGGCACCGCGTAGAAGCTGAACACGTGGGCGCCAGTGAAGCGCTGGAAGAACATCAGCCCGCACGTGATCAGGACTGGCCTGGTGAGTCTTTTGGACAGAAGCACTTTGAGTTTCCCCGCCCTGCCATTGTGATACTGTTTACTGGCTAATATATTCGTCCTGATCGTGGCCAGCTCCTGTCTAATGTCTGCGTCGGGGCCTCTTAGCCACTGCAGGGAATCTGCCGCGTCCTCCTCCTTCCCCCGAAGGAACAGCGAAGAAGGGGTCTCAGGGATGAAGAGCAGCGCTAGGAACAGCAGGACGGGAGCGGCCGCCACCACCAGCGCCAGCTGCTGCCAGTTTAGATAGGCCCCTAAAGAGTACGAGATCAGTATGCCGACCTGGCTCAATATCTTGGAGACGGAGCTCAGGCATCCCCTGATCTCTGGCACTGCGATTTCGGTTATGTATACCTGTGGGCAAAAGAAAACGTTACGTTACACTGATTTCAATAGAAGATACATTCGATTGAGTTCTACTGGTTTAATTATGGGCAATAGATAATATTTAGGATACAGTTGCGTACAATAGTACATTTATCACAACTGGGTTTTTATTTTATTTTATATCCTTTTACAAATTTATTTATAAACAAAATCGTGAACAAGACTAATTTTTACATCGAGCGTTATTAATTAATTTAATTGATTTATATCTTCGTTACGGTACTAAAAGAAATATTGTACTTTTGTCCGTTTGTTCGTTTAAAGTTCAAACTAATTCTACTCGACAGTTACAGTTGTAATTTGCAAGATAAGTCCATAGAAAGTTCTCGGAAGAAGTACGCTTTGGAAAATGTTTCACGTTTCAACATCCGTGAATAAAATGCTCTTGAAACTTTATTTAACCTCTAGTAACACCAAATACAGTCGTGAATCAATATTTATTTCTTGAATAAACTGAATGTCACCCGGTAGTCCTTCAATTATGTTAGTAATAATTTAAACGTCCTTACTAGAAAGTACGTTTACGAAATTCATAATATTGTTGTCGAAATATTATGTAGCAAACTGTAACGACGCAGTAAGAAGACTTTGCATGTCAACAATAACTACTGTTTTGTGTAATATTTCCTTTGAGCGGCACCCTTTTAAGCTTTTCTTTAGTTCACTACAATGTATTATTAAATGAAAAAAGGCTCGGTAATCGATGCTTTAAGCGATCGTACACGGGGGACGCTTGTTAACATAAATCAGAGACCAATTGTCTTGTACGCTTGTCCGTTTGTACGGCATATTGAAGATGACTTGTGCCCGTATTCAAGCATTGTAAGTGAATTCTCTTCGGTTCCTGGTTAGCTCGTGCATAAACCTGACCGGTTTGTCACACTGTCTTTGGCAGTTTAGCCCAGCGGCTGTCGGTTCGAAGCTGAATCACGTTCATGGATAAGTGATGAGATTTTCGGTTCGGTTGGAAATTTGCTCGTTGCACTTCCTAAATTTGGTCAGTTAACTTGACCACCTGCAGATTATCCGTCGCCTGCGTGGCTTCTACAAAAACAGACGCATCATTTAACAAGGGCAAGATAAGGCCAGTCTTCTCTGTTGCACGAATGGGCAGGTCCATCCGGGGAAGTACCGCGACCTCGCAGAAGACCGGCGTGAAGTTGAAGTGTTATAATTCTACGTTTCGTCTCGTGAGCCTACTTTATCGAAAGATTGAACCGCCAGCACGCTTGCCATTTTCCCACATAAAACATGGCCAATTACATTATAACCACATTCCCGTGTTATCCGGAAATTTGCTGCCTCGCTCGACCGTTCGCAACATTCAGAACAGAAACGCTCGCTATTCTGTGGACGGTATTCTCATTTAAAATAGGCAACGCCGACGGGCCAAGGCCGCGTGTGTGCTGCCACAGACCTAATAATGCAGCACGTACCATCGGCCGCTTTTAATTTAGTATATTCGAGCAACCCAAGTTCAAATCCCGGTGCCGGTACCAACGAAATTGCTCACTTATCACGCTCTCGGCGGTGAAGGAGAACGTCTTGAGGAAAACTGTATGCTTCCGAAATGTAAAAAAAAATATGTGTACTTATGTACGCGGCGTTAGAAGTTAAACTTCTTTGGTGTAACAAGATAAAAATGTTTTCAAAAATTTTTCTTTTGCCTTAATCGTAGAAAAAACGACACTAACAATAGAAAAAAGGTATTAAATACTTGCCAATAATCATAAAAAATATTAACGTTAAACAAAATCCATAATTAAAAAAAAATATATTTTCAAACAACGTTGTAATTAGTAAAAAGAAACAAAATTTGCTAACATCCTATATAACTCGCGCCACAGCGTCGTATTACAAGCTTCTCCTTCTAACAGTATGTTTTATCTCTTTTAAATTCATTCAACCCATTCATATGCTTTTACCTTTACAAATGAACTTTACGTTACGCTTTTATAGGTAAGGGTGTTCTAAAGTTCTTTGTTTTGGAAAATTTCATAACCCTGTAACTATTGATGTTTAAAGAATTTAAATGTTTAATACAACTTTAAAAAGTTATCCCCTATATGTGTGTTCATTTATTGTCGCGATGGTAAATACACGCTGTATATGAAGAAGGTGTGAGGTAACAAACAAAAGACACAACCGAATTAAAACCTTCTCCCTTTTGAAGTCGGCTGAAACGCTGCCTACGCATAAGCAAAGCAAACGCCATTTTCTTACGGTGGTAGGGCCATGCAGCAGCCCCGGCTGTTGTACGAATGGGCAGGCTCGTCCGGTTAAGTACTAAATCACAGAAGACCAGCGTAAAGTGAAAGTATAATACTTTCGCGTTTCGTCTGGTGAGTGAGGTGACCGGAGCCCAATTTTCAAAAAGGCCATCAACTCATTTGCAAACCTTCGGGTGTAGCAGATGTCCATGGTCGGTGGTATTCACTTAACATCAGGTGAACCGTCTGCTCGCTTGGCAACTTTTCCCATAAATAAAATAAGAAAAATTCCACACGTCCCGCTGCATCCACCTTGGAAAAGAAAAAACTTACAGGGCAAACGCTGCGCCGCTCTAGAATCATCTCCCATCGAACAGTTACAGAGTAACGTCATCCTGTGCATTGTTAGGAGTCGAGCGGTGCTGAATGCACAAAACGCGCCACTTTCACGTTTTTGTGTCGAGACACGAAACGGGCCCTAGAGCCGCCATTCAACCGTCACCGTTTGCGGCGGTGCGCCGTTAACGCTACACACGGACGGAGCGGACGGCGAACTTTTTACCGAGCAAGTTTTATTTGGCGGTGTGTTAATATCGCCACAAGCGAAGCAAACGACGAACTTTTTACTGAGCAAGTTTCATTTCGCGGTGTGCTAGTATCGCCGCCCTTGATACACAAGAGCAATAAGTGCGTCTCACGCATCGGACGACCCAAAGCTCTAGTAGCTCAAATAATTCCAATAGTGGGGACTCAACGATTGATGTAAAATCCAGATAATGCAAATAAAATCCAGATAATCCAGATAATGATAAATCAAGGAATCGAGCGACACAATCTATATTGAGTTGTTTTTTTTTTAAGTTCTAACTTCTGCACTTTCAGATGAGTCTTTAAAATTTGTAGACACAAAACCAAGTGAGAGTCGGAATCGCACACGTTGAGTTCCGTACCATTATTTTTGTAAAAAAAAAATCATGTCTGTTGTATGGAAGCCCCACTTAAATATTTTTTATTCTGCCTTTTAGTATTTGTTATTATAGCGGCAACAGAAAGCAATCATCTGTGAAAATTTCGACTGTCTAAATATCACGGTTCATGAGATACAGCCTGGTGACAGACGGACAGACAGACAGACAGCGGAGTCTTAAAAATGGACGAAAAGTTTTTCGCCGCTGCCGGAAATCAACCGACGTCTTCCGGATTCGCGCCCAGACGTTTTAACCTTTAAGATATGTCAAACATTGCTTTAAATGCGAAAACACTGGTGAAAATAAATTACAATGAAATTTTCGTCGCAATTCGCCGTTTAGCTTAGAGACAAAGAGTAGCGAATAAACTCACTTATAATTCTGAATTCTGCTGAAGCTTATATTACCGAAATTATGCGGAATTATATTGCCTATATTATACGGAAAGTAGGTGTGTGCGCAGCTCTTAGTGCACGTGTGTCGCGAGCAATTTGCGCGAAAACAGTCTCTAATTACGCTGTTTTGTCTGTTGAAATGACAATTGTGTGAAATTGTAATTTTTCCCGCGGCAACTGTACTCTGTGAGATTGATCAAGCGTACAGGAATCGAGACGTTCTGATTTATATCTTCGCTTGCCGCTCACGACACGCATACGACACGAAATCCGTTTCGTACATACGTATTCGCAAAGAGTTTTTCACATTTTTTTCGCATATGGCGAGGATGCTATAACACTGTTGGTTGGCAGTGGAATAAAGCAATGAAGATAATTGAGTTAATTTCCTTACATGTCTTCAAAATAATAAAATGTTTTAGGACAGACAGTTTATTTTTTAATTATTTTCATTAATCGTATCGACAACTTTTTCAATAATAGAATATCAGTAGTATCAGTAATCAGAACTATTGAATTATTTGTAACTTTCATCTGGCATTGCTGAATATTTGAAGTCGACAAGTACAATGTATCGAGAAAATATTTTACATTTCTTAATAGTTACTACTAATAAAAATTTATAACTTTCATCTGGCATATGCTGAATCAATTTGAAGTCGACAAGTACAATAAAATCGACTGGAAAATATTGTACATTTCTGAGATATAATGTTATACTACTATAAAAAGTTTATAATTTTCTCTTGGATTAATCATTGTTTTATATATAAGATGAAATCAATTTGTCAGTGTAAAGTTAATAAAACCGCTTACTGGACTTACATAGGTAGTGTATTTTGATGTCAGAGATATAATGTTCAATCCTGTCTATAAGAATCCTAACTCTATGCACTAGGTCTATAGGCTTCATACGAACACAATACGCGAACACAAGCGCGGACCGCGAGGTTCAATTAATTAGATTGCTTCATATATGCGAGAATTTATATGAAAAAAAAAAAAATACTGTGCAAAGTATACAAAGTTTACGGTATAATACACGTTTTTCTAACTACATCGAACTTGTAGAAGGTTAGCATTATAAGCTCAGTGGTTGAGAACGTCGAACCATCGTCTGCGGCACTGACTTCATTATTGAAGCTACCACCAGTTTTCCTCCTTTTGGACTTAAATAATTATGGCTACGGGTGTTGCAAATATCAATGGGTGAACCATCAGCTCGATTGCCACATTCTCACATAAAAAAAAATAACTAAACATCACCTGCACACTTGAAAACTCCCTACGCTAAAAGAGCAGTTTATCACGACTTGGCGTAACTAACGATTGACCTCTCAAAATAGAGACTCGAACACAATTGTGTTCATGAATAAAATGGCGCCATAGCTTTCAAACGGCCTTTGTTATTCATTATATTTAAGACGATTAAGCCTTGAATGACGTGGAACTACTAAATCGTAATAATACTCTTGGGAAACAGGTTACAGCTGATCTGAATGTAAGAGCTATTTATCTAAGATTTTCAGTAAGCAGATAATTTATTATCAGAGATACCGCACGTGATTTCAACAAAGACTTATCGATCCAGCAATAGATACCGTTTTCGAAACCGTATCAAACAACGAAATTGCACGTCTAGATAAAATTATAAATTGATGTCTAATTAAAGATCGCACAAATTATTTTAACTTCATATCAGAAGTTTTTATAAGTGATAAAACAATGTTTAAACATTACTCATATACACATTTATTTCAATTATTGCATTACTTTTGGAAAATCTGTAAAAGAGGTTATGAGATTCCTCTTAAATAAAAAAACAGCAGTTCGAAACTATAGAAATACAGATCCATCAAAGCCCTGGAGTTTTACAGGAATTCTGTAAATATCGCCAACTTTACAATATTTTGAAATGCGTCACCACAACCAAAGGACTTGTCCATTTTAGTCGCCTTATTATACACCTCTTAGCCATATTTTTACACGCACCCCAAAATCAGTGCCCAATTAATATAACTTACAAGACACGAAGTTCTGTTTTCAGACGTATATTAAGAACATAATTAGAACTTAAGAACTAGCCCTTCTTCGACATTCCTTATATAAAAACTTCCAACCACAGCTGATTACCAACCTGTGTTATCATTGTGATGCAGCAGACCAACATGCCACCGCAGAACGAGGTCACGGAGATCATGTCGACGCTGGTGGACAGCGATGTCGCCAGCCACGCGACGGTATACGGCAGGGCTGCTGCCAGGAGGATCGTTCGGCGCCCCAACCTCATCGCCATCCCTCCCAAGATCCCCCCAATTAAGGCACCTGAGGGCAAAAGAAGGCTGTATTAAATTCAGATCAGATAAAACTTTACATGTCCAAAGTTTTGATGCAATTAAGACATTTGCAAGTTTATATATATAGTCAGGATAAGGTCTTTAGCAGTGGTAGGGCCACGTAACGGCCCTCGCTGTTGCACGAATGGGCAGGTCCGTCCGGGGAAGTACGACGACCTCACAGAAGGCTGATGTGAAGTGGTGGTGTTACACTTGTGCGTTTCGCCTGGCGAGAGCGATAACTGGGGCCATCTTTATTAAAAGGTGGCATCGCATCTGCAACACTACGGGTGTTGCAAATGTCCATGGGTTGTGGTTATCACTTAACATCACTTGAACCGCACAGCTCGCTTGTCACCTTATCACATAAAAAAAAGATCTGCTACGGCTCTGCAAACATATTCTTAGTCCTGAAGAGAAACGGTTAAACGATGCGGTCAAGTGCATAATTTCTGCAGAAATAATATACAAAAGCATCAGGATATAAATCCAAATATGGCCTAAAGTCAGACTATACGTTAATTGCCACAAAGCCGATCATAGGCCTCATCTAGACGGAAGGTACAAAACGCGACTCTAATTCGGAATGTTTGCCAAAACATATTTCGAATCTTTTTTTTTATTTCGATAATATGCAAGTTTCAACAGCACCGACTATTTCCTTCAACAGCGTGATATAAGAGCACTTAAAATGAAAACTAACAATTTGGGAATTGAATCGTGTCGCTTGAGAATTAGAAGAAAGCGCCCGGCCAGTGAGCCACCACGGTGTAGATTTGAAAGCTAGTTATTAATCGCGTTCTACACCAGCGACAGCCTATCCGCTTACCGTTAAAGGTACTTTAGGCACTGTCCGTACTGAAGTCGTGATAAAAAAACACCTTGAAATGTGACCAAAATACAAGCCGTATCGTACGGCGCGCGGCGATCCGATCTCCTTAGGTGGCGCCGGCATTTGCAAATAGCGTAAAAACGACCAAATCGAATTAAGGACGCATTCGCTTTCTTTGCGCGTGTCACTCGGAGCACAGACAAAAATAAACGGAGGAAAGACGGACCCACCGACCGCCCGGATATATATAGCGGGGCTGGCGAATATTTCTGCGTGGCAAATCCCAACGCTCAACTACGAACGGAAACATCACGCGTCGTCAATCAAAGGCAGGTAAAACAGACGCGGTATGCGCAACAAGAGTGAACGCGATAAAATCCGAAAAATACTCCTTTTTCGTGCGTCAGAATATGCAGACAGTTAAAAATGGAATACGCCTGTTCGATTTTGAAATAAATATAAAAGAAGAAACATCAAATAGTTGCCAAGGTAAATAATTCAGCACAATGTAAACTATTATTAACACTAACCGACTTTTTGTTATTAGCTAAACTATCTGTTTAGTTATTAATAAATTTTGAGAGCGGATCTATTTCAATTTATGTTTAATCTGTGATAGGACTGTGACATTCTTTGCACAACGGAATAACAAGCCGTGTCGAATATAACTCAATATTAATATTCGATTTCGTTGCAAGTATATAAAATTTGTAGTTTTCTTTTTATGCAGTCTCTTCAATGAAGATGAAACTTATAAAAATTCACTATAATAACATTTATTCCCCAGTTCTAAGTCTAATGTTTTTATAGCGAATGCATTAGCAATTTAAAAAATTATGTAGCTAATTGGCAGAAATGATAGTCGTTACGCATGTAAGAAGTCTTTAATATCAGTAAAACAGTACCCCACGTGACCACGTGGGTTCAACAGACTTGCGAAATTTCGCAAGCATTCTCAAAACTATTGCCAAGTGGACCGTATTTGTGTACAGTGTCAATATAACATGTCCTACTTGTCAATGATTTCAGCATTTGAGACGGAAATCTTTGGCCGATATCCGTATTAAATCTCGCTGAAGAATTTGGTTTTGGGAATTCATTTTATTATAAATTTAAAACAAATGAGGCGAAATAATTGTCCAAAAACTTTATTACTGAGATTTTTAGGCTTTTCTCTTTTTTAACGGTTATTAATATGACCGTGAACGCTGGTCACATGACCCGTGAACTAGGTCATGTGACCAGCTCTCTTTATGATTTGCTATATTTTTATCTAAGGTCTAGTCGCTTACAGAAGTATTATTTCAACGATAGCCCAAAATATAGTCCAGAGTAAAGAATGCAGCGCTGTTTCATTATTTTATTGACACTATCTCAAAGCTTGTCTTAAGTAGCTCATTGTCCGTGCGGTCGCTTTTAATTCAATACGCTCGAGCAACCTAAGTTTGAATTCCAGTGCCACTTATGAAATTGTTAATTCCAAGTGCTTACTTATCACTAGCTCTTTGGTGAAGAAAAATGACTTGAGGGAACTTGCATTTTCTGCCGATCCGCGAACTACCGCGGATTGGCAGAAAATGTCTCTTTGTATACAAGAGGCATTTTCCCAGCACTTGGAAACATTTAGGTTTTTTTCTACATATTTTAACATATAAGTTGTTAAGTTTGTCCTAACTTGTAGAAAATATACTCAAATAATACTTTACGACACTCATACAGAATAACACAACTATGAAGGACATAAACTGTAACGATGTATAAATCAAGAATACTTAAACGGCGAAAGTATCGCGTAAAATCATTGATAGACATTTACGAACCAACATTCAAGTGCATAATGACGTCGAGTATAAATCTCTTGTCCAATTGTTCATCGGAATAAGCACTTGTCTGCATAACTTGCCCGCGTTAAATTCATCGTAACGTATGAAAGGATCAAACGCATGATCGCCATTTACTATTTACGGCGTCGAATGTTCTTTAACTTGTTATTGTCACTGAGACGCTTTAGAATAACCGTCTGAAACCGTTTCAATTATAATTAACTGGGCAACTGATGTTCGCAAGTAGACATGATCTTGCCTTCATTATCTTTATTATAATTATCTTTGTTTATGAAAGTGGAGCGGATAAATAGATGGTGGGTCATCCCCGCCCAAGGATATAAGCAACACCGGAGTTGTATATACTTTGCGATCTTTGAGTCAGGAATAGACACTACTCTTGAAGATTCACAGGTATCTCCATCTTAGGAGATACCTGTGCCGACACAAAACGCACTGATTTCATGCAATAGTTTGAGCAGTTGTTGTTTTTTAAAAATTATCCTCACTATAGGATAAGACATTCATGTTGTAGATATTTATCAAAGACAAATTAAACAACATCGAACACTCAGGTACGGAACAACCTACGGGTTATAAATGTTTACTCCAAGTGGGAATAGAACCCATGACTAGACTAAAGCAATTAAAATATTATAATATTAAGTAAAGGTGGTTTGTAACAAAAAGTTAGACATTGCGTATGGTAAAATTGATATAAGTGTTGGTACAAACGAACAAGACAAGGAATTTCCTCTTAGTAGACACGATATCAAATGTACAAAGAAATGTTGACGATCGCCTCGGATAAAATAAAAGATGTGTAGGTGTTAATATCGTAGAGATTTAACAATTATGACCAAGAAATTGTAAGTCAAATGCCGATACTTTAAAATGGGAAGAAATTTTTGTGTTTTTGATAAAGTGGTAACGCTCATACTATCCTATCTACCTCATTATAGATACACTTTGTATGTGATAATGAAATAAGCCCGTACTGGCCAACCGCACGAATTTCGTATTAACACTTAGATTATTTTATTATCATACACGTGAAACCTGTGATGCTGTTGACTGTGAAATAATCTACAGAGTCATTGGCATTGGACTTATTCTGTTGTAAATAAAATGAAATACTGAACTGAATGTATAATTGCAAGGGTCTTAATCATGACTTTTTTACGTGAGAAGGTGGCAAACTAGCAGGTGGTTCACCTGATGTTAAGTGATACCCGCCGCCCATAGATATTTGCGACACCCGTAAATGGCTGATGCGTTGCCACCTTTTACTAAAGTGGGCCCCGGCTACATCACTCACCAGACGAAACGCTTCACTCACTTCACGCCGGTCTTCTGTGAGGTCGTGGTACTTACCCGGAAGGACCTGCCCATTCGTGCAACGGCGAAGACTGTTGCGTGGTCCTACAAGCGGAAAATTTCCTGCCATTCGAGCAACGCCTAAAAGATGTATCAAGGTGACGACTAAAAAAAATTATATAGAGCCCTGATAGCTCAATACTCGAGCTCTCGCATTAATTCAATATACTCGAGCATCCAGAATTCATATCCCGATGCCGGCAGCAATGAAATTGTTAACTTTAAGTGCTGTCTTATCACGTGCTCAGCGGGGAAGGAAAACATCGTGAAGAAACCTATTAGTATATTTTCTAATAGTACCAAATAAAAAATATTTGGAAGATATAATGCCAATCGGCAGTTCGTCGTGGGGCCGCGTGGTTGACTATGCCCCAATTCCCTTTATACAGAGGAGGCGTTTGCTCAGCAAAGAGGAATACATAGGCTGTTACTTTACTTAACTTTACGGTACTCCAGGTTATCCCTGACATTAGGACGTAGAGCAACAATTTTAACTTAACTCGTGGGCTAGCTAAAACCACAAGAATGTTACAATATTGGGAAATTAAAAAACGTGACAAAATCCATAAAATAATTTTATTTATCCGTGTGGATCATCTTGATAAGAACATCGAGTCAGTAACGAAGTTATAATACCATCCAGCTATAGTAGACTCGAAATAAATCTCGTTGCTTGTAAACAATACCAGGAAAATGAATTTGTTATACATATCCAAGGAGCTTGTCGTATTTCTACTTAAACTTTTAATCACAACATCAAGCTGTTTATACGTAAGTTGTAGGCTTTCAAAATGTTTGAGCTTGTGAGGAGCATAATCATGCTAAAAACTGGTAGAACCTCGCATATTCAGCCGAGAAAAGATGTATCTCCATAGATTAAAAATCGCTTATGGACACTTAAAGGCTCGTAGATTACGCACCGCTTTACGTCCTCGAACCGCGTAATTAGCCATTATT